TAATATTTATATTCTTTATTTAATTTTAATAATTTTCTTTTGTTTGAATTTTTTACATATATAATTAAATAAAGAATTTGAAATCAATGCGCAACTTCCTGCAAATCTTTCTTTGTTTCGAACAATTGCTCGACATACAAATCTTCATTATCGGGAACCATGGACGAATAATTAGATGATGGACCACTCGTTACAGCCCATGCGCTTCCACCCCACTCATGTCTCCAACGGAATAAAACAATCAAATCCTCATTTGTAACAGTGAGATCACGATGGGGAACAACTGACTCGAAAATAACTACATCATCATCACGAGCTATCTTCTTTGTATCCCAAAAATCATTGGCATTGTGATCCTCTCCAATCGAATCTTCGTGTCCACCTTAAGTAACATCCTTTCTCACAGTAAAGTCACACAAAGAAGAGTCGTGTACATTTTGTTCAGTTCAAATAATAATTCACTTCTTCATCACATGTAACCTTCATATGTGGAATCAGAATGAATGAATCATCCTTGAATCGAAATTTCAGTTCCATATTGTACTGAGAGGGATCGACATTCAGCTTCTTTTGTAAATCATGGTACATTCCCGCATATGTTGTACTCTCCATTACGGAAATTGAAGTACAGCCACGTCTATCGTTTGTCCATCTCCATACTCATTAATCTTTCTCATCCAATTCGAAGTCACTAAAATAATAAACTAACATTATAGCCATATATGCAAGAAGAAACGAATTTCTTTTAAGAAAATACACAGTCGAATATTCGACTTTTAAGAGGAATTTAAAAAAAAAAACGAAACAGTCATAACAGCTGACTGTTTCGGCTATTAACATTTGGCCAAATAGCCCGTAAGTTGTTTCTCGCCAGATCCATTTTGTCCCAAAATGCAGATGAATTTTTTTTCTCGTTCATATTTAAAAAAATTATAGATCTGTTAAAAAAAATTATTTACATTAACTATCTATGTTGAAATAAATTTAACGATTAAAACGTATACTGATTTAACGAAAACAAAATTAAATATATGTAAATATACTTACCGATTCGAAGTGATTGATATAAAAAAAATTCAGGTTTCAGCGTTTGATAAATTTTTCAGATTTTAAGGTTGAAGCAGATGAAATATTAGAGAGTTTTTCTCTGTGTTGAAATAAACAGATAACAAAAGTAAGTTAATTTTGAAATTTTACGTAGGGAGTGTTTGGTTTTATTTGTTAATTAAATGGTAGTATTGTCTTTTAAACAAAACAATATTTTGTAATTGTTTTATGGGAGATTTTCACAAATGTCACTAAATTTGAAAATACACAAAAAATTTGTATGTGCACTCAAGTTGTTCAAAAATGTCACTTTTTTGACTTGAANATTTTAAATTAAAAAATTAAAGGAAAAATAGAATTTGCTAATTCATATAAATATTATTTTTTGATGAATTAGAAAATTCTATTTTTCCTTTAATTTTTTAATTTAAAATTCTTTAATTAAATATTCATTGTAAACATATATTTAATTTTTTCAAATTTAATTAATATTTATATTCTTTATTTAATTTTAATAATTTCTTTTTGTTTGAATTTTTTACATATATAATTAAATAAAGAATTTGAAATCAATGCGCAACTTCCTGCAAATCTTTCTTTGTTTCAAACAATTGCTCGACATACAAATCTTTATCATCGGGAACCATGGACGAATAATTAGATTATGGACCACTCATTACAGCCCATGCGCTTATGTCTCCGACGGAATAAAACAATCAAATCCTCATTTGTAACAGTGAGATCATGATGAGGAACAACTGACTCGAGAATAACTACATCATCATCGCGAGCTATCTCCTTTGTATCCCAAAAATCATTGGCATTGTGATCCCCTCCAATCGAATCTTCGTGTCCACCTTAGGTAACATCCTTTCTCACAGTAAAGTCACACAAAGAAGAGTCGTGTACATTTTGTTCAATTCAAATAATAATTCACTTCTTCATCACATGTAACCTTCATATGTGGAATCAGAATGAATGAATAATCTTTGAATCGAAATTTCAGTTCCATATTGTATTGAAAGGGATCGACATTCAGCTTCTTTTGTAAATCATGGTACATTCCCGCATATGTTGTACTCTCCATTACGGAAATTGGAGTACAGCCACGTCTATCGTTTGTCCATCTCCATACTCATTAATCTTTCTCATCCAATTCGAATTCACTAAATAAACTAACATTACAGCCATATATGCAAAAAGAAACGAATTTTTTTTAAGAAAATACATAGTCGAATATTCGACTTTTAAGAGGAATTAAAAAAAAAAAAACGAAACAGTCATAACAGCTGGCTGTTTCGGCTATTAACATTTGTCCAAATAGCCGTAAGTTGTTTCTCGCCAGATCCATTTTGTCCCAAAATGCAGATGAAATTTTTTTCTCTTTCATATTGAAAAAAATTATAGATCAGTTAAAAAAAATTATCTACATTAACTATTTATGTTGAAATAAATTTAACGATTAAAACGTATACTGATTTAACAAAAACAAAATTAAATATATGTAAATATACTTACCGATTCGAAGTGATTGATATAAAAAAAATTCAGGTTTCAGCGTTTGATAAATTTTTCAGATTTTAAGGTTGAAACAGATGAAATATTAGAGAGTTTTTCTCTGTATTGAAATAAACAGATAACAAAAGTAAGTTAATTTTGAAATTTTACGCAGGGAGTGTTTGGTTTTATTTGTTAATTAAATGGTAGTATTGTCTTTTAAACAAAACAATATTTTGTAATTGTTTTATATATTTAAGGGCGTTTTTGTCTTTTGCCATTAAATATGCCATTGTGGAAATATGAATAAGTTGAAAAGTCAAATATGCCTCTTTGACCAGGTCAATTTTAAAAGTAACCCTTACATTAGCCCATTTTATAAGATGCACAACTTACTATACACTTCACTTCACGACTTATAATCACTTGTATTTTATATTAAGTACTCCGAAGCATGCCATATTCAACCTTTGGAGCCCCTAAAGGGGTTTCCGATTTGTCCCCCGCGAAGACTTGACTATCCATTCTCGATATTATCGATTTTTATATCACGCAAATATACGAATCGTAATAAGTAATAAAGTTGATATATGAGTTTGAATATCGTTCCCACAATAACCACTATCTAACAATTGGTTAAATTACTTCAATTCGATTGAAAATAAATAGAAAGCGTTTATTTTTCTTTTTGTGATTTTTTATTTAGAAGTACTAAAACAATAAACGTGATTTTTTTTTTTATACAATGGTTTAAGTATTAGGATTTATGACTTCAACATAACTATTTACTTAATTACATATCATGGAAGAATAAAAATACAAACAAGAATAAAAGTACATCACCGGATATTAAGGAAAAACGAGAAAAATATAAAGATCTCACACAAAGATTCTGTCTTCTTTTTGTAAAATCTTGAAACCGTAACGTCTTGCTTGATTTATTGATTTTTTACTCCTTTTGTCTTGAATAATATATTTACAATGAATCCCCCAAACCTTGGCTTGAATGTATGTGTATAATGAAACTCTACAAGAATCCTCTAATTGTTGGATTACGGTGTGTATTTAATGATTTATAGAAACAAGATTTATGCAAAATCCTTGCTCAACTTGATTTCCATCAAAGAGTTCAAATTGGTGTCTACCAAAAAGTTTAAGAAATAAAAGGAGACAAAATTCTTTTTTCAATTGGACTTCTCTTCTATGTGACTTTAATCATTCATCTTTTAATATTGTAATTAAGTCCCCTTCATTCCAAAATCATAACAGTTGACCAGAGACAAGCTTTCAGATTTTGCAAAATCATACATTATTTGACCGTTACACTCCAAATTTAACCACCATTTTTGACAGTTTGTCTCACATGTGAGCACTTTTTCAACCAACGGTCATTTTTTTCTACTTTGGAGTTGAAGAA